CTTAAACAAGAAGCTACTAGGGGCTCCTGGCATCGCTACTAGGAGCACGGACGCTACTAGGGGCTCCTGGCCTTACTACTAGGGGCAAGGACGCTACTGAATCTCCCTGAGCCGAGTATTTGTTTTCCAATTTCATGGTAGAACCAAATTATATAAAAAATGCTCGCTTCTGGAAGCGAGCTTGGTGTCAGTTGGCTTGAGGATCTTTCAGCGTCTTTCAGCCTTTCAGCAGTGTGGGTTTGCAAAGAACATGTCTACAAAACGGGAGCTGAAGCTGCGGCGCGGCCGAGAAGACACCGCTGATCGACTGGATTTGGAGGCATCCAAGAATCTACGGCCGGGATGTGCTGGGTTGGGCCGTTGAAAGAGGCATTGGAGAGGAAGTGGTAAAACCCGGAGTCTAGGGATCTCCTTCTCTCGTCTCCATTGAATTCAAATGGGCTGCAATCATCTTACAGTGGCCAAGCTACAGTATCGCTAGATCTCGTGTACCAAGCGGGCTTGACTCAACATCACTTAGGACTTCACGGCCAATAACATACGCGATTGAACTGCTGGGGAGGGTGTGTGAAGTCAATCCAACAACTTTAATGGCCAAACTAGAACAAGAAAGCATGGTGCACGAACCAGGTACACTGCACAGTACGGCAAGCCCATGCCACGCACCTTTTAATCTGGTCAGGACTTAATGCATCTGCCTGTCCGCGTTCGACGGATTCAAAAAGAATGCTTGCAGAAACTACATCCACATACGGAGATGTGGCTTCTGTCAGAGTTATCTGAATAGATGTTGCTGTCGGCTGCTCTCTCTCTCTCTCTCTCGCTCTCTCTCTCTCTCTCTCTCTCCCCCGTGGCTCTGGCTCTGGCTCTGGCTCCGGCTGTCTGGCTCTTGCGCGGAGTTTCCCAATTCTTCCCACCAATGACGCCTGAACCTGCTCGTCATCGCTGTCAATGGCATTTCCAAGCAGGTGGTGAGCTTCCTAAAACAAAGGCACCCAGGCACCACACGGAGTGGGCCAGAAACCTGGGGGCCCTGGTTGATTATGAAAAGGCTGCAAGATACACATCTCCTCCGCTTCAGGAGCACATCGAGGCCTTTAAGACTGACCTCCCGAAAGATCAAACCCAGTAACCTTAAACGACTTTGAGGCTCACATCATGATCTTAATCCTTAATCGTCCTCCTCATCATGATCTTCATTCTTCTTGTCCGAGAAGTAGGCCAAGGCTCTGCTGCCTCGCCGAATCGGAGGCCCTTGCCGTGAGGCCGGCAACCGGCATCGGGGCACTCTTCTGACAGCGGCATTCATCGGCTTGGAATATGACGTATGGATTGAACAACTGAACACCGAAAACCTTGACAGCAAAATGGTGCACATGACTCATGACGATTTATAGTGGACCATAGCAGAAGAAAAAGATTGGCGTGATAAGTGCTCTGAGTGTGGCAGTGTGATCACCGCCAAGTCATACACAATCCATTCAATCCATGTGCATGCTCATCAGCTACACTCCTTCAACACCCTTCAACCACGTAAAGGATCCAGAACCGATTGTCTCGTTGATCCCTTGAAAGGCAATTTCGTGTTTGGGAAGTCAATAATAGTCCATATATTCTCAGCGCATCTGGTTGGCTAAGTTCCGGAAGAGGCTGAATACTAGGCAGGTGACCATAATTATTAGGTTGGAGTTGGAGGCCATAATTATTGGGCGTTCCACTCCTATGTGCTGCGGTTACAGGTGAGGGCGCACAGTGAATTGCCCAGGGAACTCAAAGAGTTTGTCACTGAAGGCATTCACGACCCGGCGGAAGTGCAGCCGGATTTTCACTAAGTGGTCATGAATGCCCCAAGTAAAGACCAAGAGTTGATGACTCAGTATGCGCGAATGGAAAAAAGGAGGCTATGATTCCATGATATTCTAGCCACCCATATATATATATATATACCCAGATATTTTAAGAAAAAGAATACTATTATTCAATTAATAGAATGGGTGGAAACAGGATGCTATAGATTGAGATTCATTCCACCCATTCCATCAGTCCCCTGTCCCCTCTCTCACCTCCAAAGGGCCACATGCATCGACAACCTCGGGTCGGCCGGGGGTCGGCCGCAAGTCGTGGCTCGACCCACCCAAACTGCGAAGAACTCTATTCAGATCACCAGAAATGGTTGAAATGCGTGGCATCTGTCACTTTGCTCCTGTCAGTGTTTTTTTCCTGGAATCTCCGAAAGCAACATCTTCGAGAAGTGCTACCTCAACTTTTACACCTGTGGACAAATCTTGCCTCCAACTTCAATGCAACAAGCTGGATGCTTTTCTACAGCTCACATGTGTTTGAGTACATGGGTCTTCTGTAAACCACAGAAGTTATCCTGCTTAATATACAACCTTGTTGGTCTTCAAAACCCCAAAAGTAGAAACCCAGTTTGATATGTCCGGTGTTGATCCAGGTGATTCAGCCATACTCCTACGACTGGGATGAAGGACGTTTTTTGCGAGACCCAGCATTTTCCACCAGGCAGCATGTGTGCATGAAGGTGGTCGCCATTCAGCATGACAGTGCTTGTTGAACTCCAACTTCCATTTTCGACGCTGTCTCAGAGCAATTTCAGGTTCTTTACCACAAAAAAAGAATCGATCCGCAAGCTTTTGATGCTTTTGACACTGCTAAACATTGCAACGACGTCCATTGTCTGGGTGCTCCAAGTGAAAGCATTGCTATTGGTGTCTTTTGATGGGTCTCTGGTTTGTCAGGCGGACCTGCTTAAGCGTCTTGCATTATTCCAATGTGACTTGTCAACTTGGCTGACTCCAAGGGCTGTGGCCAACTGACAGTGCCAGGTGAACTTGTTTCCAGGTCATGAGTCCAACAAAGCCGCTGAACATGTCAACGCCAACATGCTTTCAATGCCTCGAACATGTTGCCTGTGAAAGCCAAAGGCAAAACTTGGGTATAAAATTCATCAAACAGCATCCTTATCACTCAGCGATGACAAACATAAAGCAGCTACGGCGACAGCTAAGTCATCGACTCAAAGTGTTCTCATAATGTGCACACGTCTCACATGACCACGGTGGAAAATGACCGTTCTAGTTGTTTCCTCAGAACATACTTTTGTACAAAGGTGACACTCAAGTTTGGAGCTCACCACCGATGCTTGCATGTTCCACAAAAACAGGCTCCCATGTCCCGGAAAGGTTCTTTCCCCTAGCAAGAAATCAGGGCAAGATTCAGCGCGTTGCCTTTTCGTGCGACATTCAATGTCACTTGTAGGTCAGCTATTCACGAAGGTTGAAACAGGCTGGTGTCTGTGCGTCGTTTTCACTGACCTGCACGTGGTACAGAATCTGTCACGCATCTCAATTGCCAGCTTCCTGATCAG